ACACACACACACACACACACACACACACACACACACACACACACACACAGTTAAACATATTACGATCATCCTCTTGAAATAAAAGAGATTCTGAAACGAATGGGTTTAACTTTTATCACTTGTTCGCCGTTTTTAATATCAGTCAAACACGCTTCACCTTCACTTGGGGCTGTCGGGGGCTTTAATAATTTATCAATGAAGATATTTTATTTATCCTTACAAAATGCAGATTTGTGATGTATCCATACTGAATTCTCTGCACTGTTTGCATTGACAAAATAAGACTATTTCAGAGGTTTAACTGCAAACTGCTGCAACCAAAAACACGACAACATAAAATATAACGTGGAACATTCTTCTTCCGATTGCACAGTTGAATATTCTGTGGTTTTCTCTTTTCATAGAACACGTTAGCATTATGCTGATACAAAAAAAAAAATCCTTTTGCCTTGAGTACAATGCGAATAAAATCTGCATGCGTTGTTGTGCTTCCATTACTCATGAAATAATTTATTCCACAGAAAAGAGCCCCACCAGCTGTAGCATTCATTCATTATTTAACTGCCAGCTTTTAAAGGACACGCCAAAATGCGAAGAAGAAAGAGATGAAATCAAAAGTCAACAGTTTGTATATAAAAAGGAGAAAATGAGTAAATGTAAAGTAGTACGCTGTGACACTCACACTCACCATCAGTTGTTTCATGGAGTTGTGCTCTTCATTTTCTCGCGCTGCATTGTGGTCTTTGTGAACAATCTCCACCCGGATGTCATTTTTTGCCGACACAACTCCTTTCAGATCTGTTAAAGATGGACGACACGTACGACACATCTTAATAGGCTGCGAGGAAACCCCGTTCTGTATTTGTTGACATAATCATTTCCCCTTGTCACGTTCTGCTGTATTGTAATATTTAACAATGATCCGTGGGATGGCTTTGTTACAGCTCTTCCATTTCCCCCAAAACAATACAAAGCATTAGTAATTATTTACTCCATGCCAACACAAGATAATATTTTCCCTTTATTAAAAAAAAAAAAAAAAAAAAAGAAGAATCTCCCACAGTTTTCCAATGGTGGCTCATTCTGTTGGGGACAATGCTGAGGTAATTCTGTCATATAACAAAGTCTTACTTTCTGTCTTAATTTTGCTTGCAAGTTCTCTCTGGTGAGCACAGATGGAGACGGGCAGTGAGGGCATTACCAGGTGCACTTCCTCTGTAGTGTACAGACAATAGACATGCTGAAGGGACCAGTAAGCACAGCATGGTTCTTGGACACAGAGATGGTGGCTGACTGTCTGTAACTTGAGTCACTTGCTTTATGGGTGGGTGGCGGCGAACACAGTGCAAAAATAGTCTCAAAAGCCATTGCAGCCAGACTGAGATTGCATGAAATGAGCCCTGATCACAATCTGGCTATATTTGTGCACGAAGAGAAGATGTCCATCTCAACCAGTGACTCATTTTGTGGCAAGCACGATGCAAATTTTCACTATGTCAAAAAATTGTTTTTACCACCGTATGCCTTTGTAATGTTGAAGGGATAATGAAGTATTTCTTTAAAGTGATGTTCTGTTAAAAAAAGTTGTTTTTTTTACTTTCTCATTAGTCCTGACATCAATCATAGAGGATAAAGAAACAATCTCTATCTATCTATCTATCTATCTATCTATCTATCTATCTATCTATCT